CGTCGAGCCGCGCAGCGCCCTGCGTGTTAGCAGAGCGCCCAGGCGGACTCGTTTTTACGCTTCCAAGCTCAAGCCAGGCGCCGCAGCCCATAAAATGGCGCCGCAGGCTCCCCGGGCCGTCCGCGCACAGAACCGTTATCTAGAAACAAAACAAAAAAATCGATGAGACACCACGGGCTGGGGGGGCTCCGATCTCCATCTGATCTCTCCAGTACTCTCCCATCTCCAGCGTCGCTACATCTTGGGCCGGATCCAGTCAGATCTCCGATCTCCATCTTCAATCTCCAACCTCCAACGTCGTCATCTTAGGCCGGATTCAGTCAGATCTCCGATCTCCATCTCCAATCTCCAATCTCCAATCTCGATTCGGGGGCCCGGGGGAGGAGGGGGGCTCAAACCTTCAAGGAGATGCGCTATGGACTCATTCACGATGCAAAAGGATCTCCACCCTCTTTTCGCGCCATTTTGCAATCTCTAGTGCCGCGGCTCCCAGCCCTTCTGTGGGCCCGCGGCGGCGAGCCGCCGCGGTTCGGCACAATGTCATCGGTCCGGGTTCATCCCGGCGTGCAGCCGGTGCCGCTTCTTCGGCGAAATTTTGCTCAACCTGTTTGTCGACAAAGTTGTGCCCGAGCTCCTGCTGCTCGACTGCGCGGCGTAACCGGCCCCTCGAGGCTGAGATGTGAGGCGCCGGCACCGGGGCTACAACGCGGGGCCATCTCCGGGCTGTCTCGGGCAATCTCAAAATTGGCGCCTCTCTCTGCTGCTGCTGCTGCTGCTGGTGCAGATGCTGCTGCTGGTGCAGATGCTGCTGGTGGTGCGGCGCGGCTCTCCGACTCGACTCGACGCGCGCGTCGCGGGCATCTGAGGCGGCGGGCGGCGTCGCGGGCGGCAGCGATCGCGGCTCGACGGTGGAGGTGGAGGGTGGTGGCTGTGGTGGACCTTTGAGTTTATTTAATGGTCGAGTACGAGGACTGGGGGTTCAACCGGGAGGCAGGGGGTTCGACCAGGCGACGGAGGACTGTGGGCCATCGCGGGGACGGCCCGCCGGAGGCGGGCTCGATTGATCCGGATGGTCTCACCCGGTGGGAGGCACCGAGGCGTCTAGGGCGCTACACTCTACCTTAAGCTCCTGAGGGGCGCGTGATGTAACCACGTAGTAGGACTACAGCCCACCACAGACACCAATCCCCACTCCTCACGTGTGCACACTCCCTCACCGTCTCCTCTCTCCTCTCTCTCTCTCTCTCTCCTCTCTCTCTCCTCTCCTTGTCTGTGCTGTCTGCCTGGCTCAGGCACTAATTCTGCCGATGCGTGATTGTGCGTGGGCTGCTCCGAGGGGGCCCTGTGCGATCCGATGGGTAGGGAGTCTGTGCCCGGGCGGTGTCCGGTGTGGAGTCTCTCTCTGATCCCGCCTGTGATGTTGGGTGCGAGGTCGTGGAAGCTTTGATCCCAAGGGGGGGAGCCGATCCCACTCGTAACCAACTCTCAGGGGCAGTAGGTGGGCGAGCCTCGAGCGCGCTCATCTCGCTCGTCAAGGCGTCGCTACGCGCGGTCTTCCGCGGGGGGAGCTTCGTCGACGGGTGCGGGACCGCGGCGCGGCTGGTGCTGTGGCGATGCCTCCGGCTGTTGCGGCGGGCGGCTTGCTGCTCGCGGCGATGGCGAAAAACTCGTCTCGTGGCACACCGAGAGCTATAATGCTCTGGCGAGATGTGAGGCGCATGCGCCCAGGAGGGGAGGGCGCATGCGTAACGACGCTGCTAGAGATGCCTTTCGGGGCCCACAGAGATAAAACTTCTGATGCCATGCGTGACCTAGTAGTGTCCCCAGCTATGGGCGTGTCCACGTTGGAGCCAGGTGTGGTGTGGGCGCGAGAATAGCTCCGCCGTTCATGGAGGCAACCGATGCGAGTCGACTGGTGTTTGTCGTCGTGGTTTCGTATCAAGAATACTCACTCGACTCCATCCATCGATCGAGAGGACGTGTCCGGGCGAGGCGAGGGGCAGGCGCCGCGCGAGTAGAGGGGCGCGTGCACACACACCGATATTGTCGCCCCGAGACAGAGAGAGCTCTGGCGATCAGCAGCCAGTCGCGGCGAGGCTTGTCGAGTTATTGCGCAGCGGCGCCGCCAGGCGCCCGCCCCGGCGGTCCGGGGCGGGCGCCTGGCGGCTCCGCGGAGCTCCTTTGGCTCGGCGCGGGCGCGGGGGCGCGAAAAAAAGAAATTTGGCTTGCTGGCCCTACCGGGTATCGGGTACCCTGCGCCAAGGCCGCGAAAAATTAGAGGTGGCGAAATCGCTGCTGCGTCGGGGGGGGGGGGGGGGGGACGCGGGCACCTCGCGAGAAGCTGATCATATCCAGCCACATCCTCACCCCCCGAAGCAGCTGTGGCCGCGATTTCAGCCGGTCTCGTGACCGCCCCGCCTCGGCAGGCGCACGTTTGAGCGAGATCGTCCTGCAGCGCACCGAGAAGGGGCCGGTCGCGCGCAGCGCCACGCCGCAGGCGTCCGCCGGAGGCCCGCCGGAGGCTGTATGCGGCGGCCACTTCCCCTCGGTCTTTCGCCGCGCTCCGGCCGCTCCTTGGCTCCTGGCCGTCTCTTCCGAGCGGCTTTGCGCGCCCCCAACATTCCCCTGACAGCAGCGCCTCACGGCGTGGGCTGCGAGGTCACTCGGGGTGACCCAGGGGGCGGCGGGGGAGCACTCTTCCGCCGGAGTATCGACGGTCTTCCCGCTACTCGCTCGTTTAAGGTGCATCCACGCCCCGCCCACCACCTTCCCGGCAGCCCCCGCTCGGTGACGTCCTCATCTTCTCCCCCCTTGCCCCGCCCCCCTTCAGGCAAGGCCCTGGCCACCAAACTCGCGCTCGTCGCTCCGGGAACGGGCAGCAGCGCGACGCTTTTCGAGAGCGAGCGGCGGCGGCGGCTCAGCACCAACCTTTGCAACGCAGGGGCTGGCTGCGTGGGCCCCCACCACCGGACTCCGTCGGGTTCGCGTCTCCCTACCCGCTGAGGGGAGCCATCCCGAGAACAAAGACTTTGGCGAGCCAACGCAGCCGAGAGATAAATTCTCCGCAAGAGAGCCACAGCCAGAGTCTCTTTGACTTTGTGGATGTGCTAAGAGCGGTGCAGAGCGCGAACTCGCCGTACTGAGCCTAGCGCAGCGCGAACACGCCGTCTGAGCCTAGCGCAGCGCGAACTCGCTCCTGTTCGAAGCTGCGCAACCCCGCGGTTTTTCTTTTTTCCGCTCTGAAGACGATCGCCTTGTCCGAGACACAGGTCACAGGTGCAGCCGCTTATCTTGGTTTGACACGATCGCGGTCTCCTCGGAGACGCTGGGGGCGATGCGGACAGGGATTCCATCGACGACGACGTCCTTCGACTCAACGGGTCCGTGCGTGATTTATGTGCTGGGTGTCATGGACGCAACTTGCCCACGCCACACGCCGCGTCCCCTCTGGACCTGCTTGACTAGCTCCACCCCTGCTGCCCTCAGACACCCAGCGCCCGAGCATGCGATGCACCCTCGGCAACGCCCTGGCCCTCTGCTTAATCGGCGACTACTTCCTTCTGATGATGATTGTCACTTTTGCGCCCGAACACCTCTACGTGCTAAAGGTAGCTCTTCTTGGTGGTGAACTCTTTGTGGCGGCGGTATGCGCCCGAGCACTTCCTTCTGATGATGCCGCCACGTTTGACCGCAGTGGTGGAGCACTCGTGAGCTCCAACGCAGCGTTCGCGTTTTCCTTGCCCCTTTTCATCGTTGGCTATCTAGCGTCAGAGAACGTTGGCTGTCGCGTCGCTCGCCCTGTTTGGAATCTGGAAGCTGTTTCTCGAGGACGAACCATCCGGTGACCCATTCGCAATCCTCCTTGCTTTCATGATTGTTCCGTATCTGTATCGATTCCTCGTCTTTGTTTGGCCTTGTTGGGCCCTTGCTTTTGGCTTCCAAGCGCTCGCATTCAAGTACGTCCGCTGGTGGCCAACTCTGATGCTGCTGGTGGGCGTGGCAGTAATCGGGCTAACGCTGGACGTCTGCCTGGACCCAAACTCCCCTCTCACGCCTACGATCGGTTTCGTCGGCAAGACATACGAGGATGCCTTAATTGGATGGTACACATTGAACCCGCCGCCGCCGTCGCCATTTCCGCCGCCGCCGCCTTATCCGCCCGGGACCGCACCCCAACCGCCTCCCTCGCCCCCACCCTACCCTCCCGACCGCGCTCCCCTCCCTCCGCCGCCATCTCCACCGCCACCAGAGTGCTGTTTGGATCTTTGGGGGGTCTGCCTGGGCTACTGCCAACCGCCTCCCTCGCCCCCACCCTACCCTCCCGACCGCGCTCCCCTCCCTCCGCCGCCATCTCCACCGCCACCAGAGTGCTGTTCGGCTCTTTGGGGGGTCTGCCTGGGCTACTGGCAGGGGGGAGAATGCGTCACCCTTGGCCGTACGGCGTTCTGGGCTCCTGCGTAGTGGCGCCCCCCCCCGGGGCCCGGTCGGGCTTGGACCGCTGGCCGTTGCTCGGGGTTCTCGTTGCTGTATGCAATCCACGTGAGCTGCAGCGCCCAGTGCACGTTTGACTCGCACACGCGGAGGACGAAGCACGGAGGTGAGGAGCCAGTCCGCCGGCAGACGCGTCGTCAGGTGCGCCAGCTGCGGCAGCAGCGCCTCCAGCTCATCGATCGAGTCGCCGTCGTCGAGCAGCGCACTAGCGACTGCTTCGATGAGTTTCTTTTTCGGTGGTGAAGTTCAGGTACTGGACTTCCTTTTGTTGTAAAATTCTTCTTCTGTGCCAGTCCCGTGCCCAGTGTTGTGCGAGGGAGTTTTGTTGGAAAATTTTTCTTTTGGAGGTGAGGAGGGGGTGACGACGGCTGACGGGCCCCGCCCGCAGCCGAGAGCTCCGTTGCCTGACCACAACGCTCAACGGAGAAAGCGAACAGAGGGTGGAGGACCGAGGGGGGGGAGGGGCTCCCCCACGCCCCAGAACGCTTAGGGTACCAGGCTTAAAAGGGTGGGCCCTGGGGTGCCTGCGGCTTAAACGGCTTAAAACCTGCCATGGCAGGTTTTAAGAGCTGCTGGGCCGCCGATTCCTTAAACGGTCTTAAACGCTTAAACGGTGCGGGAGAGCTCCCGAGGTCGATGGTCCGGGAGGCTCCCCGGTAGACGCCGGAGGCCGGGAAGCTGGCTACAGTCAGCTGTAGGTAGGTAGAAAGGTGAAGAACAGCCAGGCTCGGACTGGACACCTTAGGGGACCCCTAGGCTTAAAAGGGTGGGCCCTGGGGCGCCTGCGGCTTAAACGGCTTAAAACTTGCCATGGCAAGTTTTAAGAGCTGCTGGGCCGCCAATTCCTTAAACGGTCTTAAACGCTTAAACGGTGCGGGAGAGCTCCCGAGGTCGATGGTCCGGGAGGCTCCCGGTAGACACGCCGGAGGCCGGGAAGCTGGCTACAGTCAGCTAGCACGTCCCCTATGCGAGTATGGCTCCTGCCAGTGCACCAGACTTACAGATGTGTCTTCAGAGCCGAATAACGGCAGTATTGAAGAAAACGGCGCGGAACCCAGCGACGCGTGCCGGCGAGGCCGATTTTCTTAAACGGTCTCTTAAAAGAGGGACCCCCCGTGCCTGCAATCTCTTAAATGGCAAGTTAAGCCACCAAACCTCCTCATTTCTTAAAAGCGCTTAAAAAATCCGGCCCTCAGGACCCTAGGGGTCCCCTAAGCTGGACACCAACGCGGTATGGGTGGACGCTAGACAGATGATGACGACACGCACGAGCGACACACAGACACAAACAGTCAGCTGGCACGCGTCCCCTATATGCGAGTATGGCACCAGACTTACAGATGTGTCTTCAGTGGCGGGTTTGTGCCTAAAATAACGGCAGTATTGGAGAAACCGGCGCGGAACCCAGCGACGCGTGCCGGGGTGAGGCCGATTTTCTTAAACGGACTTAAAAGAGGGACCCCCCGTGCCTGCAATCTCTTAAATGACAATCGTTGAGCCCCCAAACCTCCTCATCTAAAGATATAAGGGCCTCGCGTTGTCCGCCGTTTATCCCCGTGACCTGCGCAATTCGTGATACCGAGGAGTCTCGAGCTTCAGCTGGTCCTACCATCATGCCGCTCTCGGAACCGCAGCGGCGCGAGCGCCGCGCCGCGCAGCGCGCTGCCGAGGCTCAGGACGCGGCTCGCGGGCAGCGCAACCGCCCGGCGCCGAGCCGGTGCTAGGCCGCCTCCGCTGCGCCTGCTTCCTTGCGCGCCGCTGGACGTCGGCCGAGAAGACCGCTTCCCTCTGGGGACCCGACTCCGCGAAGATCGCGCGCGCGTCGTGAGTGGCGGCGCGCGCGCGATCTCCGTTCCCGGCCACGCCGGTCGCAGTGGCATGGGCTCCCAGGCTCAAAAGCGCTCCCGTCAACAGCGAGCGAGCGCCGCCGCTGCTCCTCCTCCCGCCGCCGCTCCGCTCACCGAGACAAACTCGGTGCCGCCGTTCTAGCCGCCGCCGCCACCGCCGCCGCCTCGCCCCTCGCCTCCGTCACCGCCGCCCTCCATCTCGCGGCGGCGTCCCTCTGATGGCGCGGGCGCCTCGCTCACCGGCGCCTCGCCGCCGCCCCCCCCCTTCTCGAGCCGCTCCGCTCGAGCGTGGCCGCCGCCTCCCCTGTCAATCCCGCCGCCTCCCCTGTCATCCCGCCGCCCGCACCACCGCCGCCACCGCCTCGCGCCTCGCCGCCGCCGCCACCGACCGCCCTCTCCCCTACGCCGCTGAGCGCGCCGCGGTGCAGGGGGCGAGCCCCCGCTGCGCAGCCTCACCGCAGTGCACTGCGCTCTCCGCGCCCCTGACGATTAGTTGGTGTTGCACAGCATGGAGCTCGGCGAGCGTTTAGCGAGCCCCTCAGCTAGTTTCTTAAAAGGTCTTAGACTAGTTGCAAATACGGGTGGTGTCAACATGACCACTTTTGATGTTTTTTTGTCCGTGTTGCTCCCAGCGCCCTCGCCCGCCTCCCTGAGGCCATGGCTGGTGCTACTAGTATGGGGGGCTACCTGGCTACCGCGAGAGCGACCCAACTCGTCGACATCGTCCGATGATGGTGCCTCAAAGTCAGCCTCCGGAGGCTATCGTGGGGTCGAGCCGGCAGTAGCCGTGACATGTGGTTCCACCACCCCTCGCAGGCTTTGCCTCTGACCGCCACCGTTCCCAGGCTGCCTAATGGGATGGAAAGGAAGGCTGGGCGAGCGTATAGAAGCGTGCTCGACCTCGTCGTGGCAACCTGTACGGCAGCGCTGGTAGGCGCGATGAGCGTCGTGCCACCTGACCCGATACGGGGCGCAGGCGTCGTACCGAGCGCGTCGAGACTGTGTCCTGATGCGCTCTGTACGGGTGAGTCACGTCGGCGTCAAAGGAGCGACGTGTGACCTGTCAGAGCTTGATCTCCGATCTCAGCGGCGTCGAGTCGCCTTTGGTGGCGACAGCTAGGATGCATCTCCTCCGTCGTTTTTCGCGCGATGGCCCTCTGGGAAGCTGGCGGCGCACGCAGGCGGACCTTGTGTGTGCGCGGAACGCTTAAAAAGTGGGTGCTCTACGTCACTTTTTTTTGAGTAGATAGTGCCGAGCTGGGGCCGTGACAGCGTTTTCGTTCGCGGTTTTGCACCACCGACTTTTTGCAACTAAGTCCACAATCCGGCCCTCAGAACCCTAGGGGTACTAAGGTCCAGAACGGAGCTCGGAGGTGAGCACCTCCCTCTCTGGCTGTGAATGACGTTTTGTTTTTCGCCGGTGTGTTGTAATTCCAGCTGGCAACCAAATTTCTGGAGCGCTCCAGCGCCGAGTCGCGGCCGCCCGCGGGGAGCCCGTGCCAGCGCTGGGCTCTCGCCGGGGAGTCGCCGAGAACCGCGCCGCGCGGGAGCGGCAAACCGCGCTGCATCCCAGCATCCGCCGCGGTCGCAACGCGCGCGCGGCTCGCGGGGAGGGAGAGGCGTCGGCCGCCTCAGAAGCGGCGGCCCTTGTAGTTGTCGAGCTGCTGCCGGTCGCTGCGGCCGCCCCACCCGCGGCCGCCGCCGCCGCGGCCGCCGCCGTCGCGCCGGTCCTGCCACGGCCGGTTGAAGCCGTGCTCGCCATCGCGCCGCTCGTGCCACGGCTTGTAGCCGCCGCCGCCGCCGCCGTGGTGCCCGCCGCGGTCGCCCCGCTCGACCCACGGCCGGCGGGAGCGCTCGCCGTAGCCGTCGCGCGGCTCGTACTTGTAGCCGTACGAGCCTGGGGAGGGGAGGGAAGCGGCGTGGGGCAAAGAGCGAGCAGGAGGGGAAGGAGCGAACGGGAGCAGAGGGCGTCGGTGGCGGCGGCGAGAGATCGGGAGGGCGGATGCGAGGCCTCTAGCACGGCTCGGGCAGCCATCTGGGCGCGCGGGCGGTGGGCAGGGAGGGGGATCTTCCCGGAACTGTCACCTCCTCGAGGTGCGCGAGTGCCAAAAAGTAAAACGTCGGCGTCCCCTCGCGCTCGACGATGGGCTTCGCCTTTTGGAGGAGCTTGTTGAGCTTGTCGTA